CCTAAACCCTAAACCCTAAACCCTAAACCCTAAACCCTAAGGCAAGGTCTGGGGGTGCGTAAGGTAGGGTTCAGGGAGTCGGGCCCTCGACTCAGTTTCGACATTTGGGGTTTGTATGTATCGTGTGCTTGTAGCAACCAAAAGCAACCAAAAGCAACCAAAAGCAACCAAAAGCAACCAAAAGCAACCAAAAGCAACCAAAGCTGGGTGGAAGCTTCCGAAATTATTGGGGTCCTTATGAAACACAAGGGAATCCTGCTATTTGGGGGCATTTTTCGCAAACCGCCGGCTTGAGCTGCTTAGGTTCAGTTTGGGGGCTTGTGCGTTCGAGCCTGCACGTCATTTCAAAGCATGGCGGCAGCAGCCACGCAGCCCCTGAACCCCAAACCATCAACTTGAACCCCAGACCTGAATCCGAAACCGTAAACCCTAAACCCTCAACCCTAAACCCTAACCCCTAAACCCTAAAGCCTAAACCTTAGATTATTGCAGAGGCAGGAATCGAACTACCTGACCATGTACTTCAATTGGACGTCGGTGAATCAGACAGACTCCGTGGCTTCCTCAGCTGACGCGTTTAGGGTTTGGGGTTTGGGGTTTGGGGTTTGGGGTTTGGGGTTTGGGGTTTGGGGTTTGGGGTTTGGGGTTTGGGGTTCGGGCTTTAGGGTTTGGGGTTAAAGGTTTGGGGTTAAAGGTTTAGGGTTCAGGGTTTAGGGTTAGGGTTTGGAGTCTAGGGTTTATGCGTTTTCAGGATACCATATCCCCCGTCCCCCACTTAACAACAAAGCATACAAAACATTAGAAGGGAATGCATATATATATATATATGTATATGTATATGTATCTATGTGGTTCTTTGGGTTCTGAAGGTTTTGGCCTGCTTGGTTTCAGGGTTTAGGGATGTAGGGCCTGCATGACGTTACTCGCCGATGTCACGAACCAAGCTCGTCTGTCGCCCTCGCGTGAGCGTCCATGAAGGCTTGCTTGTACTGATGTGGTCTATTTATGATCGAGGGGTTAAGTATCAGATTCCGTTTGAAGGACCATCACTTTGTGGTGCTTTGCTGTAACTTTAGATCCTCAGCCTTTTTGGGTTTATTGGGTTTCTTCAGAAGCAAACTAAAAATTTAATTTTTGGCTACCCCCCCTAAGTGCAGCCAAGATCAGTTTACAAGATTTCCAGTGGGCAGATGAGCGTGCTGAGGTGCCGAGCGTCTATATCGTCCCCTTCGCACCGAAGCGTTAGCCCTCACCCTAGGCCCTGAACCCTATACCCAAACCGCTAAACCAACCCTAAACCCTAAACCCTAGACCCTAAACTGGCCCTAAACCCTAAACCCCAGGAGACACCTCAGAACCCCAACAACCCTCCGGGCCCCTCAGCGCAGCCCAGGCGATGAACCTCATGCTCCTGGTCTTTGCGCCGGCCCCAATGTCCCCACGCGCTCAAGCCCTAAACCCTAAACCCTAAGCCCTTAGACCCTAAACTCTAAACCCCTAAACCCTAAACCTCTCTAGCCCTAAACCCTAAACCCTAAACCCCAGAAATTTCCTCTTTCGGATGGCTCTGTCCAGAAGAATTCCCTGGGCTTGAGGGTTTAGGGTGCTTGTGCCTACTTGTATGTGTCCCTAAAACCAGAAACCCTCAACCCTAAACCCTAAGCCCTAAACCTGAACCTGAACCTGAACCTAAACCTAAGCCTTTCCCACAAGCCCGAAAAGTTTTGCAAGTTTAGGCCAAGGCCACTACAGAAATTGATAAAGCTTCAACTTGCGGCAGTTGCGGTTTCGGGTTTATGGCCTTGGGCTTGAGAAGCTTCAACCCTAACCCTAAAGCCAAAAAACCATACAAACCCTAAACCCTCTTCGCCCTTGGATCACCTCTGGCTCAAGGCTGGAGATCGAATACCCCAAAGCCCTCCCTCCTGCAGCAATGGGCCGTGCCATGGGCTCCCTCTTCATGCACATCGCGCTCGCCGGCGCGAGGGCGGCGGCCCTCCTGCTGGCTGGTAGGCTCGTGTAATTTCCGCCGCCAGCGCGCTGGTGGCAAAACACCGAGGTTATAATGAAGCATCTATGAGGGGTTTAGGGGTTAGGGTTGAGGGTTTAGGGTTAGGGTTGAGGGTTTAGGGTTTAGGGTTTAGGGTTTAGGGTTTAGGGTTTAGGGTTTAGGGTAGTTTAGGGTTTAGGGTTTAGGGTTTAGGGGTCAACGAACTACAATCTAGTGTCGTCAGTAGCTACTTTTGAGATATAGTGGGGCTCACATAGCCGCGCCGCTGCTCCTAAGGCCAACATGGGATGGCGGGGGATGCGATGTGGTTCTCTATATTGTGGTTTCTGAAGGGTTTAAGGGTGTTGTGGTTTAGGGTTTACGGTTTAGGGTTTAGGTTACCCTAAAGACTAGTGGTGGCTACGACGGCAAGTTAGTGCCACTTCCGACAGTCATTGCCGATGATGCTTCCGCCTATGTTTTGAAATTTACTCCTGACCCCAAGCACAAGCTTGACCAAGAGTTCATTGACCAGATTGCCAGCATCAAGGACGAGGAGGAAAAAAAGGAGATGCTCAAGACGCTCCAGAAGGAGGCAGAAGAGATGGTCTACAAGCTCAAGTATGCAGAAAAGATGTTCAAAGCCGTCGGCGACAAAGTTGACAACCTTGTGGTGCAGTACGGCTCAACACAGCAGATGTTTGCCATCAATGAGAAAGATGGCACGGAGACACCGGCAAAGCTTCGCGATGTTGCTTGCAGGCACTTCAATCTTGGCACCAAAGATGCTAAAGGAAAGCATCTCTACCACAACAACACCAAGATTACCACAGGAACTCGTGCACAGTTCAACAATGACAGTATGGTGAAGATTGACCCAACGCTTCGTGATGCTTCCATTCTCGTTTTGTTCTAATGAGAAGCGGTGCCATTTGAAGAAGTCGCTACTCCCTCATTAGAGACTAAACTTATACAACCTTAACACCTAGCTTAAGCTTTGTTGCTTTTGAGGGCTTGAGCGACTGCGCCCGAAATGCTTGTGCCAGAGTAGGGTATGCCTGAAGCGCTTTTGACACGCAGAGATGTTTGAAAGAGCGTTTCCTTGCTGAGCGAGTTGTTGTATGAATGAAGCACTATTTGAAGAGCAAGGTTTAAGGAGCATTTCTTGAGCAACATTTCGTAGCGTTTTTGCTCAAATAGGCTTGTGTTCCTCTCACGTTGTGGCAATGGCAAGAACACGGGTGATTAAACACTTCTTGAAGAGCAAGGCGGAGAATATGCAAGAAGTCTTGAGGTCTTCAATGCGTTATCTTGCTTCTCGCCATAAAGAAGTCGCAGAAGGCAACCCAGTTTGTCCGTCTTCTGTGAGTTCAGCGGTGAGCCCTTTGAGAGACAAGTTGAACATAGCCAAAGAGTGGTTGGCGCTGAACAACGGTGGAAAGGTTCTTTTTGAAGAGCTACTCGCTGGACTATCCGATGGGAAGCTTTCCGCTCTTCAAAGTCTAACGTGCACTTTTGCAGCTAAGGGTGAAGGGGTTTAGGCCCTGTTGAGGTGCTTCAGGGCTCAGAAGTTGAAGGGTCTAAGGGTGTAGGAGTTTAATAAAGGTGCAGGGCCCCCACACTTGGGGGTTGAAATCTGAGGGGCATGCCACCAGCTTGAATTGCCTGGAACCCTAGAGAGCAACCCCAAGGACCTTACACACAAGATGCCCCATCTCATGTCAGGCGCGTGGAATTCGGCCCACGCGGAGCCTGGCGGCTTAGGACTTAGGGTTTAGGGCTATGACGGCGACATATTCAGTAAAATGCCTGCCCCCGGAAAAAAGCATATCCCAACAGACCCTAATCTTTCAACAACTTCCATTTACAAATCCAAAGCCTAAACCTACTTCTAGAATCCAGATATGGACACCCAGAAAAAGCCTAAACCCCAAAACCCCATAAGCCCTAAACCCGACACGATGCATGGGCTCAAAGTAGCCCGGCTGTCCTGGAGCTCTCAGACCCATGGCTGGTGGCAAATTTGAAGCCACACTTCGGGCCATAGGGTTTGGCGTTAGCGCCTTAGGTTTAGGGTTAAGACTCTAGAGCTTAAGGTTTAGGAGTTCAGGGTTCAGGCCCTTTAGTACAGATTCTTGTGCAAGAGTTACAGGGAGGTCGAAGAGGTAGGCCCTTGAGACATTTCATATTGTCCGTTATTGGGTTTAAGAGGATCATAGCGAGGACTAGGGTTTTAACGGGCCATCCTAGCTGAGTTTGGTGGTGAAAGCTGCTCGGGGCCAGGACTGCGTTTCACAGTAAATGCATCTGTTTCACACAAAACGGGCCAACAATCGGCCAACCCGCATAGCAAACACCGATGCCACGTGCCACCACTCCTTCAGCAGCTTCCCGCGATGTGGAGAAATATCCCCTAAACCTTGAACCCTAAACCCTGAACCTTGAGCCCATAAAGAAGAATTCATGAGATGTGAATTCAGGGGTTTCGGGGTTAAACCCTAAACCCCTAAACCCCTGAACCCTAAAGCCTAAACCCTAAACCCCAACCCTTAGGCTCCAGGGCATCGATAATGCTGACTAGGAGATGCCAAAGTCAGGGTGTGAAGTGTTGTTGGTTCAGGCTATATGTGTTATCTGTATGGTGCTTTGTAAAGACATTGAAGCCCCAAACTGTTAAACTCTATAGATCCTTAAGCCCTAAACCCCAAACCCTAAACCCTCAACCTTAAACCCTAAACCCTAAACCCTAAAATCAGACTCTATAAATCCATAAGCCCTAAACCCCAAACCCTAAACCTTAAACCCTCAACCCTAAACCCGGTTAGAATTTCGAAGCTGGGAGTAGCTGTTGCCGCGTGAGGGCTTCGATTCGGCAACTTGGGACTAAGCTTTGCTGCAACACGTGGCGTTCTTCTGGCTTTATACACCCTACACTAACCCTAAACCCCAAAACCTAGACCCTAAACCCTAAACCCTAAACCCTAAACCCCAAACCCGAACTCCTCCCTAGGTGATGATATTGATGGTGTCCTTCTCCATGGTCTTGCAAAGAACCACGCGCAACTGGGCCTTTTCGTCAGAAGGTTCGTGGGTTTCGGGCCGGTTTCGGGTTTTAGCTGGGGTTTCGGCTTTCGTTCTTGTGGATATCTGGTTCCGGGTGGCCCTAAGCTGAAGTGTCCCCTGGCCAAAATTTTAGCCGTGTGCCTTTTTGGTCTAGCACTGTTTCCCCGCATGCCCCCTCATATGGTGCCCCTTACGAGCAGCCTAGACACAAAATCCTTAAACCCCCCACTTGGCACCCTTCTTGATACTCATTTGGAAACCCTAAAACCTAAACCCTAAACCCCAAACCCCAAACCCTAACCCCTGAACCCTAAACCCTAAGCACTAAACCCTAAACCCTAAACCCTAACCAAGAAAGCACACTGGTTCCGAAGCCGCGCCCTGAGGCAAGATGGTCCTGCAGCCAGTCGAGAAGCTCTTGAACCAGGCAGGACCAGATGTTGAAAGTCCGATCCCACCTACAAATAGACTCAGAACCCGGGACCCTGAACGCGCTAAGCCCTGGAAGCCCTGAACGCCCCACTGGGGCCCAAACCCTAAATCCATAAGCCCGAAATTCGGCCTGGGAAAGTTTCCCGAGAAGCCCGAAAGATAGCCTTCCATAAGAGTAGCCATTCCAGACCTCTTTGGGTTTGGGGTTTAGGGGTTAGGGTTTAGGGATTAGGGTTTAGGGTTGAGGGTTTAGGGTTCAGGGTTAGGGTTCAGGGCTTAGGGTTTAGGGTGTAGAGCCCCTAAACACCTAAACCCCCTCTTGGGTTAGGTCCTGTAGGGTTCCTGGTTCAGGGTTTAGGGTTCAGGGTGGAGGGGTTGGTGGTTACCCAGCAGTAGAATTTGGGGGTTTCGAGCGCCAAGTTGATCTTGTTTGGGGGTTCAGCCAGTTGGGTTCAAATGTGTAGGGGCCAAGCAGTCTTTCGTAGGGGCTTAGGTCAGGGCTTACTGTTCGGGTTTAGAGGTTTCCCTAAGCCCCTGACAGTCCCTGACATATTTATGGAACCGCGACCAACAGTGCAGGTCAAGGACACGGCCGCGCAAGTTTTCGAGCCTCCCCCCCGGCTGTGGTCTAGGGTTTAGGGCTAGGGTTCACTGTTCAGGGTTCAGGGTTCAGGGTTTAGGGTTTAGGGTTTAGGGTTTAGGGTTTAGAGTTCAGGGTTCAGGGTTCAGGGTTCGGGCTTGGGGATGCACAGGGCTTCCAAACCCTGAACCCTCAAAGCCTCAGTCCCAAATCCCAATCCCCAAACCCTAAACCCTCAGCCCTAAACTCTAGACCTTACAATCTGCGGTTGAAAGCATGTGTTGTTTTTCGGTGGACAGGCGCTACAGTGCTGCTGGGGGTTCCACAGGGCTTTTGGTTTTGTAGGGCTTTACTTTCCTAGCATCCCTTCTGAGGTCCCAGCACCAGCAAATACCTAACGTTCTACTGTAGGGCCTTTGACGAGGAGGTTTCGGGAACTTTATTGGGTACCTCTATGGTGGACGAGCACAAAGCCCTTAGCCTTCGACCCCAAAAGGCCCAAGCCCCGGTTTCTGTTTGACAAGCTTTAGGGTTTAGGGTTTAGGGTTTAGGGTTTAGGGTTTAGGGTTTAGGGTTTAGGGTTTAGGGTTTAGGGTTTAGGGTTCAGGGTTTAGGGTTTAGGGTTTACGACGATCACACTTCATGCCCTTGTTTCTGATGTCTTTCTCATCTCGTGACGCCACACCGCTGCAACCGCCAAGCTCGGCGTTCATCATGTGGCAGGTTCCCTCAACTATGCGCCCCAACTACATCCCTACTATAGCACCGGCACTTATATACTTACGACCCCCCTATCGGCCATGTTTGTTTGACAAGTCTGAGCTCCTTCTGTGGAGTCGCAACCCCATGAGGCCGTAAACGAAAGTTTCAAACCTACATGCGGACCCCTCCCCCCGAAACCTTCTAAACCCCAAACCCTAACCCGAACCCCAAGTCTTAAACCAAATCCTCTCCCCCCCACACACGCACAAAACCAAAACGCGCCCTGTGAACTCTGTGAACCTCATAAAACCTCTCCATGAAGGGGATTAGGGCTTTGGGTTTAGTCTTGTGAGGCAAGGACCTTCATCAACAGGACCAATTCTTTTCGCCGCTCAAAGGCGTTCCGGGCCCCAATTTACAACTACGCTCTACACCACCAGAAATTCCAAAGCCCAATACCAAGAGGTGAGGGGGCCCCAGGCAACCCTGAAAACCCTAAGTGTCCGAAAACAATCGAGCGGCGTAACAATAGCCTCAAAAGCCCTGAAAAGAGTCCTAAAAAAGCCCTAAAGTTCCTAAAAGCCTAAAGCCCAAAAACTCAACTACAAAGTGGCTACTAGCCCTAAACCCTAAACCCTAAACCCTAAACCCTAAACCCTAAACCCTAAACCCTAAACCCTAAACCCCAAACCCTAAACCCTAAACCCTAAACCCTAAACCCTAAACCCTAAACCCCAAACCCTAAACCCTAAACCCCAGAAAGCCCGCGAGAGCCGGCGAAGGTCCGTGCCGGACCTCGGCGGCGGTCCGGGCCGGCCTCTGAGAATGTGGTTTAGGGGTTTAGGGTTTAGGGTTTAGGGTTTAGGGTTTAGGGTTTAGGGGTTAGGGGTTTAGGGTTTAGGGTTTAGGGGTTTAGGGTTTAGGGTTTAGGGGTTTAGGAGTTCAGGGTTTAGGGTTTAGGGGTTTGGGGATTTAGGGGTTTGGGGGTTTAGGGTTTAGGGTTAGGGTTTAGGGATTTAGGGGTTTAGGGGTTTAGGGTTTAGAGGTTTGGGGGTTTAGGGATGTAGGGGTTTAGGGTTTAGGGTTAGGGAGTTAGGGGTTTAGGGATTTAGGGGTTTAGGGGTTTAGGGGTTTAGGGGTTTAGGGGTTTAGGGGTTTAGGGTTTAGAGGTTTGGGGGTTTAGGGTTTAGGGTTTAGGGTTCAGGGTTCAGGGTTTAGGATTTAGGGTTTCAGGGTTTTGGGTTTCGGGGTTTAGGGTTGAGGGTGTAGGGTTTGAGCCTTTGTTTCCTAGGGGGAGAGGGTTCCCAAACCCAATACCTTGTTGGTGGGTCTCGCTTGGTGCCCTAGGGCTGTTGCAAAACTCAGCTACTACAGCCCCATGAACCTTCCAGCATAATGCGCTCTACCCATAGACCCTGTTGAAGCTCCAGAACACTTGGATCCCAGATCATTGCTACCTCCTTCCATGTTTGTGCTGTTCGTCAACTTAGGGTTTTAGTGTTTTAGGGTTTTTGGGTTTGATGGTTTTTGGGTTTTAGAGTTTAGGGCGCTAAGCCCCGAAGCATCCTAAGCGAAAGAACAGCGATAAGAGTGAAGTCTTGCAAGCCTTCTGAGGCCCTGAAGCCCGTAACCCCAAACCCTGCTTCCCAACGACCCTCATATTCGACCATTTGCTTTTAAGACCCTCGCCCCCTCCCCCCCCCGCAAAGCAAAGAACATATTCTTCAATATTATGGATGAGAATCTCATCTTTTCGGGAAGCAAATAGTAGTATCAGCAGCAAGATGCAGAACTCCACCCCGGAATCTTCTGGTGCTTGAGGCGAAGACGAAGACAACGAAAGTGCTACGGAGGCATACTTCTCAGACTTGGGTTGTTTGGGTTCCCCCTTGTACTGACAGTCCTTAAATAGGGATTCTGATAGGGGTACCATAAATCCCTGTTAAGGACTGTGAGTACCAGGGGCAATATCCCAGGGGGTTGTACAGGAGGGGACGCCCTTTGTGATCCCTGCAACTGTAGTGCAAAACCCCCACGCTTTCTGCTGGTCCCGATGCTTTTGTGTTAGCATTGCATCTCGCCGCAGTAGGCTGATTCACCCAAGATGGAGGCTGTTCTACACTGTCGGTCGCTGTGATATGGCTGCCTTTACGATGAACATCATAACAACTGAGGAACAAGTCCCCCCCCCCCCCCCCCGGAGAAGGAAATGCCACAACCCCAAGCCCTAAACCCTAAACCCTCACATAAATCTGAACAACTATTTGCTTAAGGGCCCTCCCCAAAATGAAAGATGATAATCCAGATGTTTCCCCTCATGAGGAAGAATGTCTTCTGTTTTGGGCGGGGGAGTTCTTAAGCAAACAGTCGTAAACCTTGGTAGCTGAGTGAGCACACTTTAAACTTTTTGGGATACTATAACCCCCTATAGAACTGAAAGTGTACACTCTTTTGGGGCTGATGAAGTCAGCAACTAAGAAACCCTTCTGCAGGAGAACGAGGACGGCACATGGAAAGAGGCGAACTTCAACCCGGAGATACACCTCCTCGATAAGGCGCCAAAGTGACGTCGGCCACTGCATCAGCCAATCCTCCCTCCCTATAGGGTTTAGGGTTTAGGGATTAGGGATTAGGGTTTAGGGTTTTAAGGGTTTTGGGCCCGAACACCCTAAACCCCAAATCATTCAACCCGCCAAAGAAGAAAGCCCTAACGGCACCGGGCCTAATCAGGATTCCCCCCTTGGCATTGTCACTCGTTTGTGGGGTGAGGTTCCTGCATCAAAGCGCTTTTTGAAGACAGAAGGGCTTGAAAGTTAGAGTGAACATGTGTCTCCGAAGGGTAGAGTTCGCAACCCTAAACCCTAATTCCTAAACCCTAAATAATACACCCTAGACCCTAGACCCCAGACCCTAGACCCTAAACCCTAAACCCTAAACCCTGAACTCTAAGCAGCCCGAGACCTGATTCGGAGCCTTGCTCGTTCCCCTCACCGCAGCTTTCTGCGGGTCAGAGACTTTGCGGGCACTGCCCCGGGAAAGTCGAGGAACGTTTCAGGCAGGGTTTAGGGTTTAGGCTTTGGTGTTTAGGGCTTAGGGTGTGGAGTCTATTGGGGTCTATTTGGATTGGGGTTTAGTGTTGCAGGTTGAAGGGTTAATGGGGTCAGTTAAATGTAAACAGAATACCTACAACAATAAAGACTAAAATACATAGGGAAGTATTGTATGTCTATGTGTGTGTACATTTACAGATTCACATGGTTGCCCTACACCCTAAACCCTAAACCCTAAAGCCTAAACCCAACTCCTGCGCGCCATGCCGAAGCGTCCTCTGAGCACCTCGGGAGTGCTCCGTATCCTCTCTTGCTCAGGCAGCCAAGGGACGTCAGAGAACACCCGCAGCCCCCAAACCCCAAAATTTTCAGGGTTTAGGGTTTCGGGTTTAGGGTTTAGGGCTTCGGGTTAAGGGTTTTGGGTTTAGGGTTTAGGGCTAGGGTACCCTGAATCCAAAACACGCGAGGCGTCCCTGATTAAACCCCTAGGGTTTAGGGTTTAGGGTTTTGGGTAGCAGACTGCAGCATCCTCACATTCAGCCAGTCAACCCAGGCTTTCTAGACGCTTCCCTTAAACCACGTCGAAATCGGGCACATGTCGAAGTCCCTGAACTCCAAACTATCGCCTCTGAAAAGCTTTTTCCGCAAGGCGCGTGTCCTCCCTCCCCCCTCTCTCCTCCTCCCCTGCCCCCCGAGATCACGAGAGGCGACGTCGTGGCTGAAATTGCGCTGGAGGAGCACTGCGACGTGCGGTGGATCAAGCAGCAGTTGGCACCTATCTGCGGCGTCCCACGATTCCGTCAGCGGCTCCTGTCGCCCAGACCAAATCTTACTTGGCATCCCCCCCCTCAACGGGCCTGTGTTCCCCTTCTATCCCTGTTCCTTCGTAGCTGAGTGAGTACACTTTACACTTTTTGGGATACGATAATCCCCTATAGAACTGAAAGTGTACACTGTTTTGGGGGGCTTATGAACTCAGCAAGTAAGTTCCCCTGAAGCCTAAAGTCCACTGGGTCCGGGATATTGTGCTTTGTCGGCTCGGTGACTTGTTCGCTTGCGGCTTGGAGATGCGGAGGTTGCGATGCCCTTCCTTGCACACTATGTTGCCCTAAGCCCCAATGAGCCAAACCCCAAACCCTAAACCCAAACCCCAAACCCTAAACCCTAGACCCCTAAACCCCCTAAACCCCTAAACCCCCTAAACCCCTAAATCCCTAAACCCCTAAACCCCTAAACCCCTAAACCCAAGTCCCTTAATCCGCCACAGATATTCCATCAATCTTGGACCTCCGACCATGTCCTATCCCTAAACCCTAAACCCTAAACCCTAAACCCTAAACCCTAAACCCTAAACCCTAAACCCTAAACTCCAAACCCTAAACCCTAAACCCTAAACCCTAAACCCTAAACCAAAAAACCCTAAACCCTAAACCCACGCCAAGGCGCAAGGCCTCCATCCTACCGGATGCCGAGGTGGTGGACGCAGCCGTGGAGCTGCAGTTGGTGTTGCTGCCCTTGCCGAGGACCGAGTGTCTAGGACCCATGGGTTTAGGGTTTAGGGTTTAGGTTTCCTGGTTTTGGGGTTCTTGAGGGCCGCAGGGGAGGTGTAATACGGATGAACCCTGTGCCCGTGCTGCACAGGAGCTTGCTTTGTATCTAGGTTGTGCGCCGGAACTTTCGCTACACCTTCGTTCCGAAACTGGATGTTGCGCATATTGTGATGATTATTGTTCATGTTGGTGTTTGCTCGTGTGCTGCTAGCCCATGTTTTGGATTGCGGTTTTGTTTGTACCGAGGATATATGCCAAGATACACTTCCTCACCTTCACAGAGAAAAATACTTCGCGTATGTTTTAGTTGTTCTGATTGCTGTTCGCGTATTCACTAGATACAAGCAAAACCGCAGTGGAAAACCTGGGCAAGCAGTGAAGTTTCCGAATCAAGGTGTAGGGAACTTTGTTAGTCTGAACATAGCGAAAGCAGCACGCGAAACACCAATGTCAACGACCATGATCAGCAAGAGTCGCACATAAGCACAATCAAGTTTCTAACGAGTGTGACATGTATTCAAAACTGTATAGCACTGGGTTCATATTCTACAGATATTTGCTACCGAAAGAGAAACTCTTGACGGCAGGGACAATTTTTATATATACATATACATGTATATTCATATATACATGTATACCCCCTGGGATCACATTCATGTATGTATGTATGTATGTATGTATGTATGTATGTATGTATGTATGTATGTATGTATGTATATGTGTATATAAGTATATATGTATATATGTGTATATGTACATATGTACATATGTATATATGCATATCTGTATAATATCTGTATATGTGTATGTATGCATGTATACATGTATATATGTACATATGTATATATGTATATATGTATATAATGTATGTGTATATGCATGTATACATGTATATATGTACATATGTATATATGTATATATGTATATATGTATATATGTATATATGTATATATGTATATATGTATATATGTATATATGTGTATGTGTATATATGTATATATGTGTATGTGTACATGTATATGTGTATACATGTATATATGTGTATATATATATATATATATATATATATGCATATATGCATATATGCATATATGCATATATGCATATATGTTTTCCCCATATGTTTTTGTACCCTGCAAGATGCCTTATATAGGGACCCCGCCTGGGAATGGCCCTCGCCATTCGGGCTTGTGGTTTAGGGTTTAGGGTTTAGGGTTTAGGGTGGAGGGTTTAGGGTTTACGGACTTCCCAAAAAAATGGGAAGGGCTACGCCAACAATCCCTAAAACCTACGCAGGAAGTCAGAGAAGGTCGCCAAGCTCCTGACTGCTGCCGCGGGAGAGGGCAACGCCTTGGCCGTGGATGATACTCCGCAACTCTTGGGGTTTCGGGTCTAGGGTTTAGGGTTCAGGGTTTAGGGTCTAGGGTTTGGGGTTTAGGCTTTAGGGGGGTTGAGGACTTAAGAATCCGAGACCCTCGTTCCAGTTTGCAGGTTACGTGAGGGATTCAAAAACATAACCTACAACACAGTAGGTTGTGGGTTCTGAAGGTCGGGTTTAGGACCGTGCCTTAAAAATCAAAATAGGAAAGTCGGGATAGAATCATATATGTAGTTGGGCCACGGGTGTTGGGTTGCCGCGAGGTTTCCGGCATTTCAGGGCTTTTGCCAAGGTTTATGGACTCAGGGGGGGGGGTTGGGGGGGGGGTGGGGGGGGGGGGATAAGAACATCATTCATATTGCATCCATGCACAAAACACTGGTATTTACAGCGTTTTCGCCAGTGTGTACAACATACCGCGCAAGGTTGTGGAACAAGACACGTTGTCACAAGCGTCCATGCCTTTCGCGACCATGCCCAAAACACTGGTATTTGCGCCCAAAACACTGGTATTTACAGCATTCTCGCCACTTTGTACAACATACTGCACAAGGATGTGGAACAAGAAAAGCATTCACAAGCATCCTTGCCTTTGGCGACCATGCCCAAAACACTGGTATTTACAGTGTTTTTGTTTCTCTACGGGCTGCAGACTTGACCTATAAGGGTCTACACTCCGGGCTTACACACTCAATCTCAGAAACCGAAAGACAACTTGACAGCAAGAGTTTAATAGAAAGTGATGTAGTTTTTCTGTACATTCTGAACACTGATTTTTGAGGAATCATGCCAAAACCCGGGCATAACGTACGTTTCGCACAACAAAACACCACGGCAACCCATCACCCGTGGTCCATGTAGTTCCCTAAACCACCAAGAAAGTCCTAAGCCCTAAACCCTAAACCCTAAACCCTAAACCCTAAACCCTAAACCCCTTTTCTGATGTCTAAGGAGCTCCTACAAAGGCCCACAGATGCCGATTCGACGGATGTGAGCGGCGCCACCGCCCTCGTCAGAGCTTCGCGCTTGGGGCACAGGACGGTGCGCATCCCCCCAGGGGGTTTTTGGGCTTATATTTTAGGGTTTAGGGTTTAGGGTTTAGGCTTTGGGGGTTTTTGCGGGTTTGGTGCTTTTGTGTTTTGGGGGTTTCTGAGGCTTTAGGGCTTTTGGGGCTTTTGTGGTGTAGGGTTGAGTGTTAACCGGGGGTCCTCAGAGGATATTTGGATTTCGGTTCTGAAGCCCCCGAAGAACTTACCCGCTAACCCCTAAACCCCCAAACCCCCATACCCCCATAGGGTATCCAAGCAAACCCTAAATTCTCCTCTCGACCCATCAAGACAACCTGCAACACGCACACACTCACAGAGACAGACATACGGACAGACAGACAAACAGAGAGCGACAGAGAGCTCCCCTGAGGTGGTGAGCTTGCTGCTGGAGGCCCGGGCCTTCCAGGACCCTTGGTTTCTAGATGTTTCTCTTTTTTTTTTTTTTTTTTGGGGGGGGGGGGGGGTAGGGTATTGTTTTATAGGGTGCCTTAAGGGAGCTTAAGGAGGATGATCTAAGTAATGTAGGGG